ATGAAATTTCAAGACATTTTTGTTGTAAGATAGCGAAAAAAAGGAGATTTTAAATCATTTTTCGTTGCCAATTTTTCAAATTATACCTTCTTAAAATACTTGTAAAATCTCAATTTATCCAAGTAAAAATCGAATAAAACCCCAAAAATCAAGGAAAAATTTCAACCTCAAACAAAAAAATATGAAAATATCACTATTTAGCGTCAAAAAAATCAAGAAATTCTCACGGAATTCAATTAAATAAAGATCTGAAAATTGCCATAAAATTTCGAATTCAAAGAAAAAAACGCTACAATTTTTTTCCAGAAAATTCCCCTTATTTTTTTAGAAAAAAATGTTCCTGGAATCCAATCAAATCTGACATTATTCCCAATAATTGAAAATTAAATTAACCAACGTGAGAGAATTCCCATGGAATTCGATGGGAATTTGAATTCGGAACGGGAATTTTGGAGTTTTGTCCGATTTTCGCTGGCCAAAGGCTATTGGGCATGAAGTCAACTACTCATTCAATTATATCAAAACTTCCGCTAATTTTTTTCCACTTCCTGTGTAAATAAAAAAATGAGTCATTGGAAAAAAATAAGGTTCAAGTGGAGTTCTTGGATCGGGAAATAATCCTTTTTTTGGGCGATTTTTTTGAGCAAAATTTTAATAGTTTTCAAAAATTTTTTTATATTTCAAATGTGTTGATTTTTGCAATTTTTCCAGATATAAACATAAAAAAACTGCGAAATTCTCTTCACTTTGATTCAAAAAGCCTAAAAATCAAAAAGCTTTTTCCTCAATAAAATCGTGAAGTTTGGAAAAAAACGATAAATTCATGGTTATTTTTTTAAATTTTTCTTCATTTTTTTCTGAAGTTTTTAAATAATTTTTTTCCTAAACCCTTTGAAAGAGTATGAACTTAAAGCTTTTAAAAAAAGGATTTTTTTGACCCAAAATTTTGAAAAATGCATAGCCAAAAATCACTAGTTAAGCTCGAAAATGCAAAAAAATCAAAATTTATCGATTTTTTTCTGAGCCCAACCACAGGCTTGATTTACACAGCCTTCAAGAAGAAATAATCAAAAATTGGATATAAATAAGTTATTTGGCTTTAAACTTCGAGAGTAACAAGTATAATCTTTGAAAAACTAAAATTTTTGAGCGAAAAAAAATTGTTTCCAAAAATACCTAGCAAAAATCACTAGTCAACCTTGAAGATTGAAAAATCGAACTTTATTGATTTTTCTGAAGATTTTACCCGACCAAAGAAGGCAAAACTCACAGAACTGATCAATTGGTGTCGGTCCAAGCCAACAAGGATGATATGAATGGAATGAAATGGCCGAATTTGTGGGCGAGACGGGAGAAAAAAAATGACAACGTGAAAAAAAAAGCGAAGAATGAAAAAAGAGAAGGAAAAGACAGAAGAACATTGGGATTGATAGCCGATTATAGGGGCCGAAATTCAACTTCCAAAACTTTGAATGTCCATCAAATTCCCTCTTGACATTTCGCGATAGTGCTTCTCAGCAATCAAAGACCTCGTTTCGGGGCTCACTGAGCAGTTTTGAAGGAAGTTGAGAGCTGCAGGAAATTCCGAAAAAAAGACATTATTCAAATCAAAGGCCTCCGCAACTGGTCATCCCGTTTTCGGGCTTATCTCTTCCGGTTTTCAAGATTAATGAGATTTTTTTCATGATCTTAATACGAAAAATTGGAATAATATTATTGAAAGATTGGAAGTATTGAAAGAACTACAAACGTCCTGAGTTTCGAATTAGAACTACAAAAAAACAGTTTCCATCAAGTTTTTGGAAAAAAAATCCTTTTTATGATGAAATAATTAAAAAATTGAAAGAAAATGAAAAAAAAAACTTACACTCCTTATAAAATAAAAAGCCAGAAACGACACTAATTTATCCAAAATTAAGTTCACCTGGCCTTTATGAGAGAAAAGCTGAGCCCGAAAATTGCAATTTTTTTGAAAACTTTCAAGCTCCAAATTTGTGTTTAAAGCTGACAATTTTAATAAACATTTCAAGTGATGAAAAACATTTTATAGCATGAAAAAGCCCCATTTTCGTAATTTTCGTTCTTGAAATCGAGCATAGATAAAGGTTTTGCGCAATTTTTAGTGTTATTCTGGGTTCTATTTCACTAGAATTGCTCAATAACGTTTGGGGCGCTTCCAGATTTCGTTACCGAGAACTCTAGTAGTCCCTTAAGAGTTCTGACGCTGCTAAAGTGACCCCTAGAAAGGCTCAGATACGCTCGGACCGAGTTACCGAGAACTCTAGTGACCACTTTCGTGGCGTCCGAACCCTTAAGGGATCCCTGGGAAGGCACAGGAGCGTCCGAGGCGCTTCCAGTTTTCGTTACCGAGAGCTCTAGTGACTCCTTAAGAGTTCTGACGCTGCTAAAGTGACCCCTAGAAAGTCTCAGAAAGGCTCGGACCGAGTTACCGAGAACTCTAGTGACCACTTTCGTGGCGTCCGAACCCTTAAGGGATCCCTAGAATTGCCCTGGAGCGCCCTAATCGCGTTAACTAGAACTCTAGTGAGCACTTTAGCAGCGTCAGAACTCTTAAGTGATCCCTAGAACTGGTCAGAAATTTCCGGGGGCGTTCAGCATCCGCCCGAGTGTGGAAGAAGTAATTTTCGAGAAAAAAAAAGAAAAAATTCAGAAGAAGATACATAAAAATGTGGGGGAAAAACGAGTGAAACGGTTGGTTGATGGAGAGGAAGGGACTGTGGAAAACGAGACGCGTCGGAATATCCATCGGGAGAGACGTCGTTTGATATATCCGAGTGATAAGCCCAAGTGACAACTTGGTCGTCGACCGCGTCTCTGCAAAAAGTTCGAAAATTATTTTGTCATTACATTCACCGGAAATTGAGAGTATGAACGACGGAAATCGGATGAATAATGATAGGGGACAAGAAAAAACAAGGATTTTGCAGGAATGGGTATAGTTGATTCATCTTTGTCTTTTTGAAAAAAAGAATATTATATGGAACAATGAAAATATTGAGTTACAGTAACCATATGAAGGAAAAATTAATTAAATAACACGACCACATCAAATCGAAGCAACGGCGGAAAATAAAATGTGTTGTACGCAATGCACGCGATGCATGAAAATCGACGCGCAAAAAAAGCGAGATTAATAGTTTATTATCAATAAAACTAATTTTCTGGCTGTTTTTCATCTAGAGATCGCCGAAAAAAAATTCTACAATATTAATATTCTAAAAAAAAATCACATTTAGAACTAGAATAAAGTGAAATAATTCGTTTTTAGAACCACTACTTTATTTCAACCTCAAAAAAATTTCTTTCTGCATTTAAACACTGGTGAAAATTTCGCTCTTACAATACAACTTATTAATAAGTTTTTCAAAAAAATTCTAGTGACTCAAAAATAAGTCTCTCTGAGCCAAAAAAATTGAAGTTTTATAAAATTTTTTTCTCAGTTTTACAGTTCAAAAAAAATGTTCCCGTGAAAAATTTTCAACCAGTCATTTGGAATATATGACGCAAAAAAAGTGTCCAAAACGTGTAATTTTCTAGCTTTTTTTCATTTTTTTAAGACATTTTACTTCCGAAAAGGCTATGAAATTCAAGTCAAGAAAAAAATATTTCACTTTAAAATTAAGCCTAAAAACTTGAGAAAATCGTAAAAGTCGAATAACTACTTATTTTTTTCGGTCCGACTGATTCAGAAATCTTCAAAATTTTTTTATTATTTTTACTTCAAGAAAACTAAGCTTCGAAAATACAGTAAGACTCGATTTGAGTGATAATCTAGCTTTTAGAAAGAAAAAAATTAATACAAATTCCCACCCTCGAGAAATGAAATCATAGCCGAGTGGGTTCTCAATTTTAAGCCCAAAAGTCTAATCCGGCTCTCTCTTTTTTGGTCCAAAAAGAGAGAAATAAAAGGAAGAAATACGCGTTTTCACACTATAAGGCGTGGGGACAAGGATAGTTTAAAGAATGGTGGGACGAATATTTTGAAACGGGAAATTCAACAAAACGTCCCTCGGAAATCGATCCGATTCCTGTTCGGAGGGACTCAAACATCGAGCAATCAATCGCGGAACTTGGTTTCGAAGCCAATTTTACGGCTCCTCGGCAATAAAAAGTTCGAAAGTAACGACGAGACGCTCGGAAAGTGGCAATTTGGGCGTTTTGGGACAGCAAAAATCGCCTAATTTTAACTTTCGGGGTTATCAAAAGCGTTCGGGAAGGAAGAGGAAGTTGGGAAGTGGGGACAGAAGAACAAAAATGAGGTGGTGAAGATCAGAAATTAGACCTGAACAAAGGTGATAAGAAGAAAATCTTAAAGGAGAAGCTGAAAAAAATTCTAGAAAAAATTTTGAAATTTTTCCAGAAATTATATATTTTTCTCGGCATGCAAGACCTTCACTGAGATTATTAAATTCGCGAAAAAAATCAAAAAAATTTTATTTCATTTTTTTCTTTTTTTCTCTTTTTCTCAATAATAAGATTATATAATCATTTTTTTCATGAGCAGAACTCGATTTTTCTGCCTTTTTTTCCATTCCTAAATGTCCAAAAATTAGATGATCCATTGACCCCTAAAGTGGCCACTAAAAAAATTTTAGTGGTCTAGTAGTAGCACTCAGACCTCTATATTGGCCCCTAAAACTTCAAAACCCTATAGTGGCCACTAAAAATGTTCCCAGTTTGAATAATTTTCACTAAAGTTACTCTTAAAATCCCAAAAATTAATCAAATTTCTTAAAAAAAGCTAAATATTCAATAAAGATCCTCTTGAAGCTTTTTTTTTATAGTTCTCCATGAAAAAATTTCATTCAAAAATTGTATTTCTTACTGTAAAAATCAATAAAATTCCAACAAAAAAGCCATTTTCCAACAGATTTTGGAACTTTCTTCTCCTTTTTTGGGGTTTCTGAAGAAGAAAAATAGAGTCATAAACGGGGGATGGGTACAAACAGACAAAGAAAAGTGGGGGGAAGCAGGAAGAAATGGCCAGAAGACGTCGGTTGGCGTCGACGTCGGCGGCGGCGGCCGCAGCCAAACAAGTCATGATAACGCCTTTTCTTCTCCAATTCTTCGACAATTCGTCGACAGCTTCACACACACACGTACATACATACACAAGCACCGCTTCAAGCGTGATTTGCGACGTTTTTGACACGAAACTCTGTCGTTGGGTACAGCGAAAGACGACGATTTTGCAGTAAAAATGAGAAGTTTTGAAGTTTTGGAGTGAAGAAAACAACTTTAACTAATCGGAAAGAAAGATAGAAATTTTTAAAAAGGTATTTTTTTGAAAAATGGAGAACGTGTACACTAACTATTCAGTATGAAAAAAAAAGGATTAAAATAGTAATTTTTACTGTAAAAAATAAAAAAAAAACCATTACGATTTTTTGAAGAAAAGGCCGGATAATATTGTAGACATATAAGTAATCGTGCTCCGTGGATAAATCTTAAAACTTGACTTTTTTTAATTTAGCAAAACTTAGAAAGTTAAAAATTCCCATCGAACCCCCAGAAGACGTAAGGAATGATTGTGATGCAAGACAGTATTGAAAAATTCTGAATCCCTCATCAAAAAATCGATAAACTGAACATCCGAAAAAAGTCGATTTATAATGGAAAAACAGCCAAAACTTATTTTAAAAATATCAAAATCCTCCTAAAAAAGCTTCAAAATCAAACGAATGAAAGGTAAAAAACAAAATTACCAGTTATACTTGCAGATTTTGATTCTGAATCTTTTCCAAGTTTCAAGAAATTGTTAATATCGGTAAGTGCAATCATAGAACTTGCTCCTTCGAGCCTGAATTCGTGAAAATTCGCTCGAAATCACTCAGAGCTATTAGAAACTGTATAAAGCTTTTGCAAAAGAAAAAATTGGAAATATTTTGAGAATTTCAGATTTCCAGGTACTTCCTTTGTTAGGTTACAAACTTATATTGCAAGGAAGATTAAAACTTCAAAATTAGTCAATTTTTGGGCTGACAAACGTTAAAACCGTGTCACAAGTTTGCAGAAAAAAGAGAAAACTTTCTTTTCAGCTTCAAAATTTCAAGTACTCCCTTCAGGGTTCAAGATGACGATGTTTGGAAGAGTAAAAGTTCGAAACTAACTTACTTATGGACTGAAAAAAACGCTAAAAATCGTGCCAAACGTTGACAAAAAATCATCTAATCAAATTTTAAGAATTTCAGATTTTCAAGTAATGCCTCTAGGGTGCAAGCTTACAGCGGATTAAAGCAGCAAACGTCCAAAATCAGTAAATTTTCAAGTTCAATAAAGATAAAACCCGTGTAAAACCTTGCAAAAAAAATGAAAATTTTTTTTTCAGCTAAAACAATTCAAGTGGTTCCTTCAGGGTTCAAGCTCATGGCAGTAAAAGTTCAAAAAAACAATTTTCGAACTGTATAACCCTAAAGACCGTGTCGCACATCTTCAATAAAAAAAAAATGAAAATATATTCTTCAGCTAAAAAATTTCAAGTACTTCCTTTAGGGTTCAAGCTTCTGGTACATAAAAGCGTAAAGGCTCAGATATAGCCCATTTTCGGACTGAGAAACGCTAACCTTCGCAAAAACCGTGTCAGGCCTTGCAAAAAAAAATGAAAAATTTCTTTTCAGCTTCAAATTCTAAGTAGCTCATTTATGGTTCAAGCTGATGGCAGTAAAAAAAAAAATCAAAAAAAGCCAATTTTCTAAATGAACAACCCTGAAGACCGTGTCACACATCTTCAATAAAAAAATTGAAAATCTATTCTTCAGCTATAAAATTTTAAGTACTCCCTCTAGGGTATAAGCTGACAGCTCATAAAGCGGTAAAAGTTCAAAAAAAGCCAATTTTCGACCTGAATAACGCTAAAAACCGTATCACACCCATGAGAAAAGAAGAAAGCCGACAAAAAAAGGCGATTAGTTACTAATTTTAGTAATTGCGATCTGGTTGTGTGGACAAAAGAGAGGTGCAAAAGGGGAGAGGTGCCGGCCGGCGAGTGGAAGAACGAGGACCCGAACAGGTGGGACGAAGTGACTCGAGTAGGTCGTCGTCGTCGTCGTCGGCGTCGTTGTCGCGCATTTGTAGGCGAGGGTCAAACAGTGTCTCTCTCGCTCGATACACACACACACACACAAATAACAGCCGAGATCGTTCCACCCGAGAGCATCATCCGTGCACTTTTTCCAGTCGGAATAGTCCGACGCCCTTTTCGGACTCTTCAGCTCACTTTGATCCGATGAGGTCGGAGGTTTCGGATTTTCCCGGAGCACAATTTGACCATTTACAGACTTATTGAGTCTTCAGAGATCCTCTGCTGAAACATGGTGATTCTCTACTGGAAAAAAGCACAAAGGTTCTCTTATGTATCATGGGAAGCTGAAGTCGTCGTTGATCATCTCACATTTCTTGTAGTAGCCGAGTTTTGGGCTTCTAACAAGGTATTTTATCCAGTTTGATCTCAGCCCGATGAGGTCGCAGTTTTCGAGTTTTTCCGGAGCACAATTTGAACATTTACAGATTTTTTCAAACGAGAAGACTCTCTACTAAATCATGGATTAATTGAATATAGTCGGTTCCAGAAACCGTCGTTGATCATCTTGCACTTCTTGTACTGATTGAAGTGCTCCTAGCCAAATTCTTGATCCAGCTTGATCTCAGCCCGATGAGGTCGGAGGTTTCGGATTTTTCAGGAGCAAAATCACACATCTACAGAATTTTTCAGTCTTTAGAGATCCTCTGCTGAATCATGATGATTCTCTGGTGGAAGAATGCAAAAAGATTCCCTACTTGTTTGATAATAGAGTGTAGGAGAATTGAAAAAACAAGAGCAAAAAAAAGTTTGACGTCAAAAGGAGTCGAACCTAGCAGAGCGTCAGCGCCATTCGAGAGCACTGCCACTTCACCACGCCCCCAGTTGCTGACCGAGCACTTCGAGCGCGGAAATATACCTGCCGGCAAAACTTTGACGAGCTTTTTCTCGGTACCCTAGGGCGCTTGGCAGATTTTCTCTTTCGTTTTGGAGCACTCTCCCCTAGGTCTATCTACCATGAAAAGCCTCAGTTTATAACTCGATGTTCACCGCGCACAGCTCTTGTAAATCATGGAAAGTGAAGATGGTCGGTTCGAAAAATTGTCGTTGATCATCTCGCACTTCTTGTACAGCCAATTTTTGGGCTTCTAACAAAGTACTTGATCCATTTTAATCTCAGTCCAATGAGGTCGGAGTTTTTGGACTCTTGAGAAGGAAACTGTCGTTGATCATCTTGTAGTAGCCGAGTTTAGTGCTTCTAGCTGGGCGTTGTACTGCTCTAATATGAAGAAGTAGCTGATCGTCGTAACGCTCATAACCCGTCTACTTTCACAACAAAAACGTCGTATTGATCTACGTTGAACAGCGACAGCTTCAAGGAAAACTGTTCTTGAAAATCTGAGTGCTTCTAGCAAAATCAAGCTTCTAAAATGTCTTGGAAGGCTTTGAGCTTTTCTGACGGTCTGATGAAGTGGTGAGAGTTGGAAAGAATAAACAGATACTTCTAAATTTATGTACAAGTTTCAGAGTTAGATGAGGCTTCAAAAATTCCGTTGGAGTTGAATCTATCAGAAATTTTGGATGATCATCAAAACTCTAAGCTGATTGAAGAACAATCGAGAATATCTCAAGCTTTCGACTCATGAAGACAGAATATATTTCGAGATTTCTCCTAGGATGAAGCTGGATAAAAAGTTCTTCAAGATTTATGGCCTGAGAGTCAATAGTAAGAACCTTCCAGCTCGTATTTCTGGTCACGATTTCTGGATTTTCGAAGAGGTATTTGAATAAAATGATGCTTCTAGAAGGGCTTGCAAGGCGTTGAGCTCTTTATGATGCCTGGGGCGACGCTTTTCGAATTCTTGCACTTTTTGGAGCACTTCAAGGTTCAATGAAGCTTCACAAACCACGAAATCCGATGTCAGAATAGCCTCGAAATTCCTAGACCGGTTTTAAAAAAGATTCATGGTTGCGAAACAATGAGGCAAACTTTTGAGCTCAGCAAGCTGACATTTCGGAACGAAATTCTAGATTTTTGCAGGATTTTGGATTGGATGAAGCTCTGAGGGACGTCAGAAAAATGATTATAAGAACTGTGGAGTTGGAGTTGGGATTTCAACAAGAATCAAGGGTTTTGAGTTGAATGACGCTCGGACTCACCCGGGAATGGTCTTCGGTCGCAATGGGACCCGGTTTTCTAGATTTAGTTTTTCACGGTGAGCTCGAATCTGGTCTCAAAAACTGCCAAAGAAGTCTTTGAAAAAAGTTGGGGGCTCTCGAAAGTCAAAAAATTCAATGTTTCCGATCGAGCTAATTTTTGGTGTGTCGTACTGGGACCAGAAAATCAAATATCTTTTCACATGATCAGAGATGTTCAGCTTTACATACTTCTGCGATTTCCCACTGAAAATGAAGATTTCAATGTTTCTCAGGAGATTTTGAGTCGCTTTGTGACGGCTTGGCGCAGATTGATGCGATTATATGAAAATCTTCAGCTTTTTCTGAGCCTTTGACTGCACAAAACAGAAAAAAAATGCCTGCCAAATTATTAAAAAACTGAGAAAAAGTCATCAAAAATAGTCAACAGAAGAAAAAATGCATCCAAGTCACAAAAAAGCTGAAAAAAAGTTAACAAAAACTTCTCCAAAACTTCTACCTACAAAAACGGTCTCATAATGGCCCCCAATAACCAGCCCAAGGGACGAGGTTGAAAAGAAGTATGAGTCAGAAACTGAACAAACGAAGGAAAGATGCCAAACAACTCGTACTACCGCCGGGAGAACAGCCAGAGAGAAAAAAAAAATGGGGAAGTGCACGGAAAAGATTAAAATCGAAAGGTCGAGTTGGTGTGGCAATGAGGAAGGAGATAAGGATCGGAAAAAATTCTAACATCTTTGCTGGAAAGCAAAAGTTCAATGGAGAAGCTATCATTAGGAGGAACTTGTAATTTTCTTTGTTGTCCCAAGTTGAAAAAGGGAAGAGTTATCAGGGTAATTATGCTGTTTTGAGGTCTTTTTCAGGTTTTTGAACGGCAAAAAGTCCTTTCAAAAATCTTTAATTTTGAAAAAAATCCAAAAAAATCGAAAAAGCAGAAATAGCCGCCAAAATGGATCGAGTTTATGCGCTCCACGGACATTTTTTTTTTTGATATTTGGGATTTTGAATGTTACTCAGACCTTGGTAACGCGAATCGGACGTGTCGGGGCATTTCTAGTGACCACTTTAGTAGCCTCAGAACTCTTAAGGGATCCCTAGAATCGCCCAAAAACGTCCGGAGCACATCCGGTTTGCGTTACCAATGTCCGAGTACAAATGAAGTCTTATACCTTATTAAATTTATTAGAAAGACGACTTTCAAAATTTTTTTGAAAATTTCGAATTTTTGAAACAAACTTTCCTATGCTTCTTGAGTACATAAATTACAAAATTCTGAGTTCTAAAATTAAAAAAAAACCAATTCTTTCCTAAAGTCACTAGAAACTAACTACAAGAAAACAGAAAACGACGATTTTTGACTTTTACTGTCTCATTACTTCTGTTTTTGTTTTCATTTCCAATTTTTCTAGACGATTCTCAGTCAACAAAACCACTGGAACAACTTCTTTTTTTTCGAACAGAAGAAAAGGACAAAAACCACGAAAAAATCAGTCGTACAGATGAGATCATGGAGCATGTGGCAGTTGAAAGACGGGGGTCCGTCAACAAACTTCCAAGGGTTCTTTGATCTCTTAAGCAACTGCAAAACGACGAGGAATCGCGAAAAAAGTGGGATCCAGGACCGCAAGGATAAGCGTAAAACTGCTTCGAAATAACAGAATTTTGGGAGTTTCTGAGAAAAGTTTTGAAGTTTCTAGAAAGATAATGGTTAGTTTAAATGAAAATTATGAGGTTCAGAAGCGTTCTGAAAAAGTTTGACTTGAAAATTCCATTCTTGCGTCATTTTGAAGTAGGATGAGGCTGAAAAGGTGCGAAAATTTTATGGAAAAGGCTATTTTTTCCTCAAGTTCCAATATTTCTGTTTCAAACCTATATTTTTTCAGAAAAAGGCACAGAAATCGTTGAAAAATAAAGCTTAAATAATACCAAAATTGAAATTTCTGTCTAAAAGTCCGTTGAAAAAAAGTTAATAGAAGCTTATTCTCTTGAAAAAAGTTTCTAGGATCAGAGTATCTGAAGCTTTAGGAGATATGAAACATTAAATAAACAGATTTCGAAAAAAAGGAAAGCGAATTTTCGTGAAAATGGCGCGAAATGACATCAGACGGCACCCTGTGGCGCACCTCTGTTGTGTATTTTCCTTTTTTCAAAAACCTGAAATCATTTTTGGGGTTCTTATCTTGATGAAGCTTCACATATAGTTAAAAATAATCTAAAAAACAAAAAAAGATGATTGAAAAAGAAAAAAGAATGAAGAAAAAAGAGAGACGATGTTTCAAAGCGAGAGGTATCAAAGGAGGCGTGACCTTCTCTTTTGGCGCGAAATTCCGAAATTCGAATTTGGCTCCAGATTCAGGAAAAGTCAATATAACCCATTATTTTTTTCTGGGGAAAATACCGTATAGAAAATATGAACACATTTCGCTCCAAGACCTTTGTTTTTTTGCCGTCTTTTTAGAAGTTTTGTGTAGAGATGGGGCAAAAAAATCTGTGATCAGAACAGTTTTTTTATTTGAACGTGACCGTCTTAAGCGGAACTGTGAATAAATCTTTATGAATGAATATAAATAAAACAATATAAATGTTGATTACTTCTTTCATGATTTTTTTCAATAAACTATCTCTCTACAATTTCCCACCCTATGGTCATTAAAAATTGCTTTTTTTCGGTTTTGGATCAACCAAATGCTACATTAAGATCAGGAAAACAGGAATGAAACGAAGAAAAAGAGAAAAAAATATAACTTTTATACAGAAAAAAACAGGCTTAGAGTGCGATTTTTTTGACGCATTTTTTTCAACCTAACTAGCTGAATGCCTGGTCATTAACGCTTACCCCCAGGCGGTTGAACTTTTGATGAAACTTTGCTGAAATGTAGTTTGGGACCTCCTGAAGAAGAAAAAAATTTCTCGCAATAGTCCTCGTTTTCGAGTTATGGAGCTTCAAAGTGTGCAAAACACGCAAATTAGGCCAAAAAAAAAACGTTCCCTAGTAAGATTTCGAATGGCAAGTAGAATGACGTCATTCGGAAACGTTCTTTGGATTACTCGCCCTGTGATTGGTTTATCGCCCCATTAGAGGCGGAGCTTCAGCCTCGACTTGACATTCAAAAAACCAAACAAACTACCAATAAAACCAGGAAATCGACACGAAAAAAAACATAAAAAAGAGGAAAAATGAAGGGAAGGCGCAAAATGACACGAGGCGCAGCCCCGTTGTGTGTTTGCCGTGTACTTCTGCCGCCGCCGTCGCCGCTTTTCCACCCTCTTTTTCGTTTGATTTTCGAGCCGAACAGCTCGAAATCGGGTTTTTCTCCCCCTTTTTTCAATAGTATAACAAGCGAAAATATTGACTGGCACTGTTGGAAAAAAGAGTGTTGAAAATATCGCGTTGCAACTTGAAAAACTGATGAGAGTGATCAGAAATCGCTGTTTTTTTCAGATTTTGACCTTTTTCGGAATGAAATTTAGCGACAAAATAATCGGAAAAATTATTCATTTTTTTCAAGAAATTTGCAAAAAAAGAAGCACTTTAAAATGATTCAGTGGGAAATATTTAGAGAAAAAAATATAAGTTATACCCAGAAATGATCAAAAAAATCTTCCAAAAATGACAAAATTTTTTTAGTTTTGAGCCTTCTCTAATATCTCTTATAAACTATAAAAAAAATGTCTAATAAAATTTTTCAAATTTTTTTAGAAAATTAATTTCAAAAACCAACTATCTTTCTGTTTTTTTGAACATTATCCTCCCGTTTACTTTCTTCCTTCTCCGAACCCCCGCCCCCCAAGATATTTCAAAGATTTTTTTGATCTCTTTATTTTTTTGGCAGAACACTTTCTCCGACCTCTCGTTTGATATTCAACCCGAAAAAACTTTTTCTATTTTCAGCTACCCATCGTTAATCCAACTCGAAAAGCAGAAATTGCTTCCTTTTGGGGTTCAAAGCTCAAAAAA